CATTGGGGCCCTGGATGGCAAACACATTGCTATCAAGAAGCCACCTCAAACTGGCAGTCATTTAAAAAAGCTCTGATAAATGCAGATTACAAGTTCGCAGAAAAGGACACATGTCAGATGCTATTATATGTGGCGACTCGGGGCTGGTCAACGGCATGGAAGAGGAAGCCCAGGACTTCCCCCACCCTGCCCTCTGACTGCAAGCCCTGATGACCACCAAGACATGCCCTTCTTCATCCTTCGCACTCAGGAACTACCTCATGAAGCCATACAGCAGGAGGATGGACAGGATTCTCAAGAGGGAGGAGAAGGGGGGGAAAATGCCTTTGGGATCCGGGCCAATAGATTCAGGTGTCTCCTCATGACACTAGGGCAGATGCCCAATACTGTGAAAGATATAGTGAAGGCAGCAGTGGCTCTGCACAACCTCCCGAGGCTGAGGCATCCAGGCATTGCAGCACAGTAGGTGGAGGCGCATGGAGGACCAAGTGGACTGTCTAGATGTGTATATGGGCGCAAGAACTCGTTACAGGTCGTGAGCGTCCGTGAAAAAATGTCAATATTCGTATCTACTTGCATTTACCCGTATCAACTCGTATCTGCTCGTGAGTCAATCGTGTCAGGTTGTTAGCAATGGGACCCGACAGAGCATCACAGATTGTGGGAGATCACAACACATCTGAACAGAGCGTAGTGTTTGTCTTGTCCACGATTGATTTCGACCACTACGATTTCTAAGCATGATTAGATGCGATATGTTGCGCTTTAAATCTTTTATGATGCAATACTATCTGATGCGATGATCACGATTGACTATTAATTTTGTTGATCGTAGAAATGTTTTGAACCGTCCAAAATTTTACTACGATCAACACGATTGCCACAATTGACCTCAAGATCTGATAAGATTTGATAGGATTACCACGATTGGTCCACAATTACGACCACGATTTCAATCGTGGCGCGAATCGTGATGGTGTGAACATAGCATTTAGGGGATCCATCACAACAACTACCGTTTCCATTGCCAAGTCTGTGGAAAAGTGTATCAACAACAGTGGAATTTCGACAGTTCATGCTCTAAAATCCATGCAACTCAATGGACAGTTACTTCAACGTAAACATTCAACTCAATGGACAGTTTCAACACAACTCCATATAAAATGTACAGTTCGATGTTTCGACGATAACTGAAAAAATACTGACGCATAAGAGCCTAAACTGCGAATGAAGACCTAAAAAAACTATATCTAAGAATTTACAGAAAAATGGGCGTGTCTGCTGATGAGGTTGTCATATTTCGTGTTGAAACAACATTTTCCGCGATCTTGTTTGGGGGGTGCCCTCGCTTAACGCGCAGTTGCAATAAATATAGAGGGTGTCAAGCTATTATAGAAACGTCTGTAAATTTCTAGACCCGTCTGCCAAATGGCAAACCTGATATACTTGCAAAATAATGAAAATGCGAGGGAAAACTTACCATTACTCTTGCGCCACATGTTCTTATTTCACTGTCCAGCGAGGAAATGGATTTCGCGTGGACAGCGCTTCCACCCTGCGAATAACATCCCCCTGGATTTTATAGGCCCATCGTTGAAATGATTATTTGTGGGTATTCATCGCTTTTAGGGAGCAGTATTCATAGCAGTGAAACAAGTAAGCTTACGTCTATTGTACATTGTACTTGCCAAATTAATGCCAATGTACTAAACAAACCAAGTTACAGAACATCAGATACTAAAGCAATATGAAAGTATTAAACTCCAATTGAGTAGCGTATACTGAGATTCCAACAAATTTGACACGGGCAATCAGGGCACGCGACATGTCAGCACCCTTTTTGAATGAATCTCGGACATGCGTGAAATGCTCGTGCCACATGGTTTCCACTACTCATCTCGGGAATCCTGGTCGTGACCTTGCTGGATTATTGCTTAAAGCGGGGTAAACACACACTCACTCATTCAAAGTAATAGCTCTGCCAATACACGAAGTGGGAAAAGGCGTGTTTTGCGTCTACGTGTAGGGGTATAGACTCGGGTACCCAAGAGCACAACCTAACCCTAGTTTGGGTGAGGGTGACATTTTCTCTTCTTTGACATTGCACAAGGTATATATACTCCCCATCAAAAGTTTAGACTCACTTGTGTACATGTAGCCACTTACTTCAGGCAACTGTTCTAAACTAAATTTTGCAAAATATTCCATACTGTTTAAAGGTGCTGTTTATACATGAACTGATGTATTGTAAAACAAATTCATAACGTTGAAAAGATTATTGTCATGCATTCAATAAATTATGAAACTCGGTTAAAAACGGCGAATTCTTATCAAAACTTTACACCAAAACGCAGCTGTTCACATGCACGATATTTGCATATACTCTTCAGCAGTTTGATGCATGATCCTCGTGCAATTAATCTGCATAAGGTTTGCAGTTGTTTCCCCCAAGTTAGTGGAGAAATTCATATTCGTTGTAACCATATATACATACATAACATATAGTGAATGTTTTAAGTGAGTCTAAACTTTTGATGGGTAGTATATTTCAACGAATACTCCGCGTTTCAATCATTCACTTGCAGCAGATATGAATTGTCAGTAGGAGATGAATCTTACCTCTCAATGTTCAAAACACGAGTTGTAAACATATCTTTTCACATACGTCCATGTTCGTGGCATTGGGTTAAGACAACCCCAGTGTTGAGAGCACCTGCACACTGGATACATTGTCAGCCGATGTATCAGGATGTCACTGACTTTGTCATTATCACAACTGCCTTTTATTTTCAAATTGAATCAATATTTCTGTCACGTGACCAATGCCTTGAAGCAAGCCTCGGGGTCATGCCGAGTCTGAATTGTTGACAGGGGTTTACCGTTAGCGTATACAAACAGTAATATTCATTGTTTTACTGACGCAATGGCAGCTGTCAGCGACTAATGACGCATTTGATTAAGTCGTCTCGTTTTGAATTAGATGCTCGCAGCTTGCTAGCTAACCTGTCAGTCACGTTTGCAATAATAATTCGACAAAGATTTCAGTTCTTCTTACAAATGAAAGCATACAAACAAATTTAGGTTGTAATGTCATGAACTGGCAATTGCAAAACGACAGTCATGCCTCAACCCAAACAAGTACGTTTTCTTGAGTGGGGAAACTATGTTATCTGCGATACAAGTTTAATCCCTGGGTGCGAACACAGTTCTCTAAAGACTTTTAGTTACACAGTTGGACATTCTGTATGACTTGAGAATCTATACACAATGTGAAGCCTTTATCATTCATGTGTTTGAGTAGTTATATCGAAAGAGTGAGTTAGATGTTGACTTGGAGTAATGTCCCTCATATTTTGGGGGGAACTGACAGACAGCAAAGAAATTGGCATATGAAGGCTCAAGGCATGCAACATGGCAATAATATCGTTTAAATCCTCATTCAAGTTGATGTACCTGTATATAACTTTCCAGTCACTTATTTATCAAGAGCAACATTCTGCTATACTTTATCATAGTGTTTTAGTAGACTTTAGCTAGACTGTCATTCCATAAAACATTTTGATTTTGCCACAGGAACGTGTAGCTGCACATATGGTACCAATTTTCAATGTACCTTGCAAACTAAGAGAAAAAGGCAATAAAAAATATATATTTAATAAACAACTACATGTACCTAATGTATGCATTACTAGCTCTTTACTTCCACATCAACATATACTGCAGCCATATGCAGAACAATCTGGTGTGTGAGACTGACCGACAACAACAACAAAAACAACAAACTATATCATGATGAATGTTTTATGACATAGATGTTACATTGTGTAGGCATGTACAAGGGGTGGTGGATACAGATCCATTGTATATACATGATATACAGTCAGTGTGAGACAAAGCCATGAATGTCATGGGCAAAGGGAAACAACTCTGGAAAATGGAGTAGCATTCGCTGGAGTATGAACACTGAAGGAGCTGAATATTGGATAATTTTGTTAATCTTACTGGTGTGAAGAATTACATAAGTAAAGATGTTATGTATATATTTACAGAATGAAATAAATATCTTTCTTTTTACACACTAAAGAGCATCTGAGACAAGAAGTATGGACAAGAAATGAAATGTACACACTGCATAAAAATTGCTAAAAAGTATTGAAATATACACCATTTCCTAAATATCTCTTGAACAGTAAAACTTGTGATGGGAAAACCATGAAGTGATCTTAAAAGTAGGATATGAATGGAAACTATTAAAAAAATACATGTTATGAATATGTGCGTACAGTATGGCTATAGGTTTACAATGCCATATGGTCACCCAGTCAGTTTAGTGCCTTTTCAGCAATATCTCAGCCACATTATGCGGTCTGCAAAACCCATTAAGATTAGGCCAAGCAAACAAGCACGATCCACAACATCAAAGCATCGTATCAAAGTATAAAATATAATGATCTTGGTAACATTGTAACCACTGCATCATCATCTAAGTCAGTCACCATGAGGGTCTAGTGGAACTATTCTGCTCCAGAATCACCACCTGGTCAAGGCAACAATAAACCTACATAAACAAGCTGTCAACATGATAAACAACTAGAAATGATAAATGAAGTGAATTTGATACACTATTTCAGCCTCAAAAACGAATATTACAGATGATATATCATTGTTATCAGTCTATTTGGAAGATACAGTAATGTTATAATGCTGATAGATTTGGCAAGAAGTATAAGCAGAGGGTCCACTCTCCACCATGATATTTGAACAGTGAGAACACTGTCTACACATGGGGGACACCAGAAGAACTGAGACCTGTAGCTCAGGGCCATTCACCTCAACCTTGGTATAACATTTCCTGGAATACTGTTCCATCACCGGCACGATGTTACTGCTGTATGAGGGATTAGCCTGACTGAATGGGTGCTCCAGCAGATGCAGGGGACAGCAGATAGCTTCACACATTGTGGTTTGAATAGGAGCGCTTTGAATAGGCTACCCCAATTAGCCCTGAATGGGTGTCCAGATGGAATTGTGGTTTATAGGAATGAATAGAACTAAGTTCTTGAGAAAGTTCTTGTTCTTGGGACCTTGTATGTAACAGGAACATTAGAGACAGACTGTTATTTGTGATAACAGCATGGTGCAGTGGTTCATGTGTTGTTTCATGTAACTCCTGCATGCACCTTGCAGTACTGTGGATATCTGTAATGACATCAGCTATTGCACTTTGCAGTCTTTCTTGGCGTCCCCATCTCCACCCTGCTGATCAGTTTGTTGCTCAAGTTGTTTCTGCTGCCTTGTACGTCGCAGGTGCTTCAGCTCTGGACTTTTGTTGAGGCTGAGGGTACTGACTCGTTTAGGTGGCTCTTGGAGAGCGGAGGGAGCTTTCTTCTGTGGGCTGTTTGTGATTGAGCCAAGGGGCCTAACTGCGACTGGAGCCTGGAAAAATGCCACAAGAGTTAATATGCGCATCAACACAACCGTTGATGTATTAGTGTGAACAATTCTCCAGAAGGAGTTACACCAAAGCCATGTTTGAGAAGTGAGTCATATAATGGTTGCACTGTGAATGTGTGTCAAAGTGTAGATAGCTCAGTTTTAATAAACTGTTCCAATTTATTTCCTTTAAAAGCTGATATTATTACCATTTAGTCAAGTTTACTCTCTACCACAGTCTTCCATATTTGTAGGAGCAAGTAGATGTTACAACATGTGCAAGAGCTCACTAAACATACTTTATGTGAAAACTGTTGATAAGTGCCACCTGATAATATTCTACCTTGATTTCAATCTTGCTCTGTCTCCTCGTCATCATGGTACGAGGAAGACCAGAAGATGTAGATGTTGATGAGGCTGGTGGTTCAGATGGAGGTGCTGTTGTTACTGCTGATGGACCTGACCGGGGCAGTTGACTTCGTGGCCGAATTCGAGAAGCTAGTAACGTCCTTTTAGCTGCTGGTTTACCCTCTCCACTGTCAGAGGTTTTAGGTGTTGCATCTGAAAGTCAAGGAGTTGGTAAATACAAATATTACAAAGACTCACCTTATAGACTCCTGCATGAAGGTTGTTTAACGCCAGTCTATAATTAATTGAGACTGGACCTGATAATCCAGTGATTGCCATGTCGATCGATCCAAGCAATTGGGATGTAATGACATGCATCAACCAAGTCCATGACCAGCCATTCTCCTGAAGACCAATTCTATCATGGATCTCTACATGCCAGTACATTTATGTGACATGTATAAACATCACACACAAACCCAGGACCAATTCTATCATGGATCTTCATGGGTCCCTACATGCCAGTACATTTATCTGACATGTATGAACATCACACACAAACCCAGGACTAATTATTTCAATTATTCATACAATGGCATAAGCAGCTATTGCACATAAGACAAAACTGGCACTGTTGTGAACAAATTGTGATATTTTAAACTACAAACTACAGGTTCTCAGATGAAGAACTTTGAAACAACCTGTCATGCTACCTTCTCACATTGAGGAATTAGCTTTGCAGAACTCTGTTTACCAATTGTCAGTCTACAAACACAAATAACACACTTTCTGATAAGTTCATTATGACTGACATTTAGTTTGGTTTTCAAAGACTGTTACCTGGTGCATTATTTGTGTCCTGACACGGATCCTCCTTTCGTCTTTTGGTTGCAATAACATCTTCATTTTGATCACTCTTCCTCTTTGGCAGTGAAGTCCTCTTGACCGTCAGCTGGCTGCCTGTCTCTTTAGTATCAGAAGACTCTTCTATTGAAGCACACTTGTCAGATGGTGCTGTGTCAATACACAGTTTGTTTGGAGTTACCTCCCTTGAGGCACATTTTCTCACTGCACTTGGTGCTGGTAACTTCTGCAACCTTGTCCTCTTGCTGGGGAGATTAGTCTCAGTTGGTGTACATTTTCTTGTTTTACACGGAACCTCAGACACATCAGTTTGTGATACATCCCTAGAATTAGGAGTCACTTCTCTTGAAGCACATTTTCTGGTTACACTTGGTGCCTTTATCGTCCTGAGTCGTGTTTTCCTCTCATTGTCTGTAGAGTTAGGACTTCTAGTGTCATTATTATGCTTTTGGTCTGGTGTGGTGAGATCTCCTGCAGGAACTGTTGCCTCACCAGGCACGGTGTCAGTTGACTTCTGCACACTATCAACAACCTTGTCTTCCATAGCCACCTGTTTGTTGCCCATGGTCTGGTTCTTCATTGCAATTGCTGAAATGATGAAAGATTGAATGAAATCTCTTTTCTCCATCAATTAAACCTGCTGCTCACTGATAAGGATCCAGTAGCAACATCCCATCTATGTCATGACCCATTACCTCCAGTGATGGTGTGTGTATCCTGTCACCAGTAGCCATAGTGACCACCAAATCCTCACACCAGTAGGTTCTTACAGGCATGGGCATTGGGGTCCAATGATGGATTACAGACAGAACCTGAAGGATCCAAAGATCTCCTTACTTCTTACTCTGGTCCAGAGCCTAAATCTAGTCAAATTTTGTTTTGTCTAGTCAGGTGAGGTGAGGTGATATTGGGTTTAACGTCGTGCTTGAGAATATTTCGCTCATATGACGATGTGCATGCGTGTGTATGTGTATGTGCGGCTGCTTGTACTAGCCCAGACTTAAGCTGGTTTCATAGTGCTAGCCCACTGAGATACCATGCCGCAGTGAAGCATGAATACCCCACTCAGACACAATATACTGACTCCGAGCCGACCAGTCCTCGTTGTACCCATTAATGCCGAGCGCCAGACAGGGACCAACAAGTACCATATTTTAACGTCTTTTGGTATGACGCGGTCTGGGATCGAACCCGTGACATTCCGCTCTCCGGGCGGACGCTCTAACCACTACACTACGGAGGCGGTTTTGTTTTGTCTAGTAAGATCACAGTGGTGACTTAACTTTCACAATTATAACACACAAATAAGTTGCAATAACAAAACATGGGACAGAAAGTGACTGACGCACTCACGCACGCACGCACACACACACACACATCCCTCACAATCTCCCTGCATTAACAACCTACCCATGGATGAGATGAGACTCTTCTGTCTGGCGCAGTCACCCTTCAGCTTGTTGTTTTCTGTGACAAGGGCAAACTGCTTCCGACACGCCTCCTTTTCTTTCTCTATGTGTTCTTCCAGCTGACTGGATAGTTCATTCACCTTCTCCTGCAAACCCTGCCAACACAAAACCAGATGATATTAAGCCCCATAGTCCCAGGTAGTTAAAGATCTGTGGTCATTAGTAATGTGTACAGATCACCAGATCCTATTGTGGCTAAGGACACAACTATGCACAGCAAATTGAAGCAATAATGTGTAGAAACAGTCTAAACTCTTGAACCTCTCTATTCTGGACAGGATGTACCAATGAAAACATTTTCTACTTGTCTATAGAATGCTGAATTTATTGAGCATTTGGATCCGAGGTATTGTAGGTCCAGTGCCACTTCCTAGGCCTCTAAGGCTGACATCAGCAAAGTCCGTAAGTCTTATAATGACATACGCTTAATACCTGTGAGCCTGCATCTTCTGTCTGAGCCTTCATCTTCTTCATCTGATCAGTAAGGCGTTTCACCTTTGATTTTTCTGCCGATAACTGTGATTGGAGATTAGAACACTGGCTTTCCCACTTGTGCAATATCTAAAGAAAAGTAGGATGTTTCAGAGCTAGAATAGTGCGTGAACATTTTCCAGCAGAGTTAGTCATATGCCAGCAATTTGTCAGCCAGCATGTAGTGTGACAATGCATGGAACAAGGACTGATAATATTATCTGAATCCACGCTATTGAAGGGATAAAGAAATACAACATAGAACATAAAGGAAACTTTATGACATATATGCCATACAGATCATGCACTTCCTAGAGCTGATTGTGTCAGAGAACCAGAATGTATGACTTCAAACAAACAACATTTCAGGCTGCAAACTAACCAATGATAAAAATTCATTTTCAATATTGGATATACAATTTAAAAAAATTTATTTCTCAGATGAAATGTTCCCTTTGGGTTATTAATTGTTGATGCAGAAAGTAGGATTTTATGGCAAAATACCAAGCATTACTATGAAACCATATAATGGCACTACCCACATCTGTGTTACTGGAAGGTCCGACAGCAGAGTTCAATTGTTCACGAGCCCCCTGAAGCTCCCTGTCTTTGTCATCAAGAGACATCCTCAAAGTCTCAAGCTGCTCTTCCCTCTCCTGCAGGGATGTCCTGAGTCCATCCAGGTCCTTCTGTGTGTCCCCCAGAGTTGACCTGACCCCCTTCAGCAGCTCCTCTCTCTCTCCCAGTGCAGTCCTCACCCGCTCCATCTCCTGCTCGAGCCTGCTCACATTCTCCTCATGCTGCAACACAAGGCAGCCAGGTCATGAGCATGTCAGCTTCAAAGGCTTACATGTTCTGAGTTGTTTAACGATACAATATGAGTTATAAGCCAAAAATACATGAGCTACATGGATTTACACAGTATGTACAGGTTTTTATGCTCACACTTAAATAAAACTATAAAAACCCATTGAAGTAAAATGCTTATAATACATACATCAACAATATCAAATTTACACACTGCTTATTTAATCATAAACAAACAAAATACTGTAGGCAACAGTACAAAATCAGTGACACTGTTACATACACTAATTATCCTGGATTCAAACCACAACTAGAGAATTACAAGAAAGGTATACACAGTACACACTGTCTCTAACAGCCCTACCACAATTCCCAGCTACTGCCTACATACCTGTTTGTCATGACTTGCCATCTTCTCCTGCCACAGGGCCTCAGAGTCTGTCAGTCTCTGTTCTGCATGCTTCTCAGCCTCCACAAGTTTGGACATCAAGCTTTCGAGATCACTCTCCTTCTGACTCACTTTCTTCTCTGCAGCAGCTACTTCTGCCTTCAGACTCTCCAACTCCACCTGATCCAGGCCATATTGAGATTAGTCAGTATAACAGTATGAAGGAATCAATTAACTAACACACTCATACCGGTATATGGCACATAGAAATTGTGAAAACACACCCATTTCACTAATACATGTGTTAATACTGATATACTGTATAATTATATAATGGAAACATTTCATCCATATTCACTTGCTGAGGTCATCAGATGTGATTCAGTGGAAAAGCAAACCAAGTTAAATCTGATAATTTACAGTACTGATCTGACCTCACATAAAGTCTATAGCTGTATACATAATACAATAAAGAGTCACAACGTTTTTACCTTTGACTGACTGACTGAGTTTAGTTTTATGCCGCTTTTAGCAATATTCCAGCAATATCACGGCGGGGGACACCAGAAATGGGCTTCACACATTGTGCCCATGTGAGGAATCGAACCTGGGTCTTCGGCGTAATGAGCCAACGCTTTAACCACTAGGCTACCCCAACGCCCCCTTTTACCTTTGAAATACTCCGAGTGAATAAATAAGCAAATCGATACAAACAGCTATAGACCTTATGAGCTAATGCCTAGTTTACTAGTCATACAGAATGGGACTTTGGCAGGGCTAATCACCATAAGGGTGACATGCATGGAAGAACTCCCAGACAGGAGTTGACATGTGGAGTATTCCAAACAATCTAATTGTCCTTGCTTTCATTAATACTGGTTACATGCATGCCATAATTTTATCCTTGACATATTCTTTGCAGTAGTGTAAATATGCATGTATTGTGTGTGGGTATTACACTGGATAAATCAAACACATATATCTGTTTCATGACAAGTATGAGCAGGTACCTTATACTTGTCAGCCATGTGTAGCATCTCCCAGCTTCTGGTGGGCATTGTGTAGCTCTTTCTCTGACTTCTCCAGCCTGTCCTTCAGTTCAGCATGACCCTTCTCCTGCATCTCAGCAGTGGACTCTGCCTGCTTGTGGAGAGCATCGAGCTCTGACTTTAGTCCCGATAGTTCCATCTCCATGGCAGAAAGATTGTCCTCTGCTTCTTCCTTCTTCTTCTCACTATTGAGAAGGGACTGGTTAACTTTCTGGAGGTCAGACTCTAGCCTCTTTACCTTATCAGACTCTTCCTTTAGCTCAAGTTCCAGAGCATTTTTCTCACTGGACAGTTGTCCTGTTTTTTCTTCTATTGCAAGGAACTGACTCAGAAGATCTTCATTTTCTTTGCTAAGAGCACTGTACTTCTTCTCCACCTGAGACCTAATGGTTTGTATTTCCTCTGCATCTTGTTTTAAAGATGAAATTTCCTCAGCTACTGACTGACACTTTAATTTCTCTGCTTCTAGATCTTTTTCAAGTGTCATCACTTTGGTCTTCAGATTTCTATTGTCATCTCTTAATCCATTCTCACTATCACAAATCTTCTTATACCGTTCCTGGCTTTCCAATATTTCCGCATTCAGTGATTCCACACACACATTCAGTCTTTCATTATCAGTCTGCAATTTTTGCAAGTCAGCTTCCATTTTCTCACTAACACCATCTCTTGTACTTTCCAGTTTGTCCACTTCCTTTTGCATCTCGCCAAGTTTCCTAACCAGTTCATCACATTCTTTCTTCAAACTTTCACTTTCTGTCTTGAAGTTAGTTTTCTCCATTTCAAGAGAAGAGACCTCCATCTCCATGGACTCCATGGCATCTTTGAACATGTCAATGTCAGCCTCTACACCTGACTTCTCCTTTAGCACAGCGTCCAGCTGCACCTTCAGCTCAGACTTGTCCTGAGAGAGAGTCTTGGCCTGATCCTGAAGCTCCTCCACCTTGGCTTGTGCCACTTGCAGCAGCTTCTCCGTCTCCTGTAGCTTCTCCCTGGTCTTGTTGTTGTCCTTCTCATTTTTCTTAATGAAGTCCTGCAACTTCAAGCATCCCTCTCTCAGGGCAGCCATTTCCATCTCTGCGCTGTTCACCTGATCTTTCATCTGATTGTTAGCACACATGAATGATTCATTTTCGGCCTCAAACTTAGACTTTTCTTCCAGCATTTCTTTGACCTTTTCCCCAAGCTCCTTGTTTTCTTTCTCCAATAATGCTTTATCTTTTTCAAGTCTTGTTATATCCCCCTTGAAAGTGTCCTCCTGCATTTGGTGCTCTGCTTCACTTAGGGATTGGGAATCCAAGGCTCCCTGCAGTTCCTCAATCGTCTGTTTAGCTGTTTCTAGAAAAGTGAGTTGCATGTCAACCTTCTTATTCAGTTCTTCTTTCTCGCTGTTGACAGTTGTCAGAGTCTCTTGCAGTTCCATTCTCTCAACACTCACAACATCAAATTCTTCTATTCTATTTGTCAGTTCACTATTTACAGAGGTAAACTTCGTCTCTAACATCTGTAGTTCATTCTCTAGTGACTTCACTTTGTTACACAAATGATCTCTGTCATCAATGATGGCATCAAGATCTGCCATCTTAGCATCAACTTCAGCTCTTAGTTGACAATTCTGTGTTTCAGAAGCTTTCAACTTCTCTTCCAAATCAGAGGTACATTTACATGCATTTTCTAATTCAGTTTCCTTCTGCAACAACTCCTCATTGACTTTCTTGATAGATTCAGAAATTTTTCAATTTCTTCAGAATGATTTTCCTTTTCTTGATGGCTACTGGTTTTGATATTTGCCAGCTGTTTCTCCAGTTCTTCTACTTGGTCCATCAAACTTCGAGTGGATGCTCAAGGTCTGTATTCTGTTTTCTCAAATGATCTATTTCTTCTTTGAAACTGACAGCTTCCTCACTCAACTTGTCAACAGATTCTGTCTTCTGCTCATTTAGTTGCTGCAGATGAACCTTTAGATCCTCAATATTCTGATTAGCTGCTTCAAGGCTGGCCTCTAAATCAGCCTTCTCAGATTTCAGTTGGACAATACTATCCTGCATAGTACTCCTGTCCTGAGTGAGCTGGTCAACCTGTTCCTGTATGGTGTCAGAGAAGGTCTGTGTGCTCTGTAGCGCTGCTTGTGTTCCCTGCATCTCCTCCTCCATGTGAGTTTGACTGCTTTCCATCTCTCTAATGGTGGACTCTAGTCTCTGCACCTGATCTTGGAAGGCAGCCTTCTCCTCCTGAAGAGTTGTCATCTGTTCCTCAAAGGTCTGCTTGTTGTTTTCTGCTGTCAACAGTTCTTCTTGAGTACTCAAAACCTCTTTCTCTTTCATTTCCAGGGAGGCCACTTTGTGTTTCAATTCGGCCTTGAGAGCTTCAATTTCACTTCTTGCATTACTGATTTCTTCTGAAAGCATATTGATCTTGGCGGTCTTATCTTCAAGGACACTGTTCATCGTTGCTGATGAATCAGTTGATTCTTTTGCAAAATCTTGTATTCTCATTTCTAGCTGATCAACGTTCTTCACAAGGTCAGACTTTTCAAGTTCTTTTAATCGTACACGTTCTTTCTCCTGCTGAATTTCAGCCTTCAGCTCCTCAGATGACAGTTCCATGTCAGCAATGGTTTTGTTCAAACCATCAATGTCAGACCTAAGTCTGTCAATAGTAGCATTGCTTTCATCAACTTTGTTGCCCAAATTCTTCAAATCTGCAGTCATTGCCTTAATTTGTTCCTCTTTTTCAACAGTACAGGATTCAGATGTTGAGCACTTATCTTCAAGTACACTCTTCTCCTTTTCTAGACTTTCAACAGAAGATTTTAAATGTTCAAGCTCAGTTGTAAGTGACTGGATTACAACTGCAGCCTCTTCTTCCTTTGACCTAGTCTGTTTGGCAAGCTGGTCTGATGTATCAGCTGCAGTTGCTAGTTGTGAGTTCTCTGCTGTGATGGTCCTGACCTGTTCTTCCAGGTCTGTCACCTTGTTCTCCAGCATGTCCTTCTCTGTGTTATGGCACTGTATCTGAGTCTTCAGGTCAACTATCTGCTGTTTCTGGTCCTCCAGTTTGTCAGCCAAGGATGCCTTTTCAGTGTTGAACTCTTGAAGGGCATCTTTGTACTCAGCTTGTAGTTCTTCAAGACGTTTCTCTGTGCTCTCAAGTTGAATTTTCAGTTGGTCCTTTTCAGACTGGAGAGTTTTCATATCTCTGGACCTTTCTGTCAAATCAGTGTTTTGTCCATCTAGTTTTGCACTTGCTTCTTCCTTGGTCCTCTCTAGTGTTTCAATTTCACCCTGAGCATCTGCTAACTTCTTTTCAAGAAGAGTGTTTGATGTTAATGAGTCTTTCAGTTCAGCATTTAATTTTGAGTTTTGTTCTTTCAATAATTCTGTTTCAGCTTCAAGACTTTCAACCTTTGAAGTTAACATCAACACTTCTTCTTTCACAACATCCATTTCATCTTCTATTTGTTGGAGTTTTGACGCCTTGGTTAACAACTCACCCTCCTTCTCTTTGTCAGCAGATGTGAAAGTTTCAATCTTCATTTCAGCATGTTTAAGATCTTGTTGCAATTGAACACACTCAGAAGTAATGCCAGCAACTTTATCCTCAAGCATCTGCTTCTCACTTTGGAAGTCTGTCTCGGTCTTGCTCATCTGCAAGTTTGCATTATCTACTTCTGTCTGTAGTTTCACCAAAATCTGGTTCTTCTGCTCTAGCTGTTGCTGCAGCTGCTCCAGATCCTCAGACAGTTTCTCTTTATCCTGCTCAAGCCCTTCCTTGACTACCTGCAGTGAGTCCAAGGCTTGCTGCACTTCAGCAATGTTAGAGGCACCTTCAACAGATGCACTGTTGTGGGCATCTTGAAGATGTTGATATTGCTTCCTGAGTGTTTCAAGCTCCGTTTGGAGATCAGACTGTCTTTTGGATGATACTTCAAGTTCCAGCTGAACTTCTTCCCTTTTGGACATAAAATCATCCTTCAGTATTTTGATTTCTTCTTCCTTTTGCAATTGAGTGTTCCTTGTTTTGTTCTCTTCAGTTTCCAGTTTTGCTATCAGTTCTTTCAACTCAGTTTCCTTCTGCTTAAGCTGGTCATAACTATCTTTCTCCAACTGCAACCTGCTGCTCTCACTGTCACTTAGTTTAGTTTCCAGTGAAGACAGAGTTTGTTCCATTTCTTGCATTTTTGCCAAATTTCTTTCAGTGTCTGTTTCATTCTTTGTCATGTAGTAACCCTTGAGATCAGTTTCTTGAAGAGCTTTCTGCTCCAGTTCTGAGAGTTTTCCTTCTTTATCTGATATATCAGCCAGGAGTTGATCTATTCTTGTTTCTTGCAATTTCAGAGCTTGCTGCAGCTTTTCCTGCTCCTTGCCCTTGTTGTCCATGTTACACTCATGTTCTTTCTCCAACTGTTGTCGCAGAATCTGTTCTTGCTCCAGGGCAGCCTGAGCAGTGTTAATTTCTGCTTTCAACTGAACCTCTTTTAGTTCTGCTTCTTTAAGCCGAGCTTCAAGCTGATTCCTCTCTGTGTCAAGCTTCTGGTATTTAGCCTTGTAATTGTCTTCTGCAGTATCTGCTGCTTCTTCTAGATTCTCCTTGGCAGATTTAATCTCTTTAATTTCTTGATTTGCTTCCTTCAGCTTATCTTCAAGTGCAGTAAGTTTCTCCTCAAGTTTCTGAATGACCGATGCTTTCTCATGCAGGTCATCACCAAATGACCTCCTATTTTGAGCCACTTCTTCCTCCAAGTCCTTAATCTCAGTCTTTAAATCTTCCTCACTCTTTTCTTTGCCATCAAGCATAGCTTTCATATTACAGATCTCGCTCACCTTATCATCAATGGTCCTTTCTAATGCTGCAATATTGGCTGCTTGTGATGATCTGTCACTCTCTAGATCAATAACCTTCTGGAGAAGGCTGTTTCTTTCCTCAGATGTCTTCTCTAATGACATTCCCGAATCAGACATCTGCTTCTTCAACTCAGACAACATGTTATCAGTGTCTGACAACCTTTTCAATGTTTCACTGTGCTCAGTTGTTATATTCTCAAGCTGCAATTCTTTCTCAGAAATCTGTTCCTCTTTAGCACTGAGGTCATTTTCCAGTTTTTCCATCTTGTTAATGATATCTTTTTGCTCTGCCAAGAGTTGAGCCTTTTGTTCCTCCAAGTCAGCCATCTTGCCATGTAGTTCATCCTTGACATCTCCAGCTTTCTGGGAACACTCTTTGACACTGGCAGTCAGATGTGCAACTTCAGACTGGCTTTCTTCCAGTTCTCCAGCCATCTTCTCTCTCTGTGCTTGAAGCTGTTTGTTGCTTGTACTCAGTGAATCATGATCTTTCTTCAGTTGATCTAATGTCTCTTGCAGATTATTGACTTTCATAGTGAGGTCCTCAATACAGGCATCTTTGTCTTCAAGATCCATCTGGAGCATCTCCATGTTTGATTTGAGACTGTTAGACTCCTGTTCTAACCTGCTACCTTCTTCATCTTTAGCCTTTGTATACTGCGCAAGTTTACTTTCAAGGGAAGTGACAGAATCTTTCATGGTCTGCATTGATTTGTCCTTCTCTTCCATGTCAGCCTGTGCCTTGTCAAGGCACTGTTGAAGTTGGTCACATTCCTTAGACACTTTTTCTAACTCTTCTTTTTTCTGTTGCAAACAATCTTTAGTCTCCTGCAAAATATTTTGCAGCTCACCATGATGACCTTTCAATGTGCTCAGTTCTCCCTGTTTACTGTCAAGTGCTGCTTCCTGGGAAGCTGTACAGCCTTTCAGAGTTTGGAGTTCCTGTCCCAGTTCCATTGATAGTTGTTCCTTCTCAGACACAAGCAGCTTCAGCTTCTCTTCCAGTGATGTCAGGGAATCCTTTTGTTTGACAACCAGTTGGTCCTTCTCCTGAAGCTCTTGTGTTGTCATGTCAACAGTTTCAGACATTCTGGCACATTTCACCTCTAGATCACTGATAGTATGTTCCTTTTCTTCCATCTTACTTTTCATTCCGGCTAGTTTGCCTTCCATGTCACTTAGGCTGTTATTCAATTTCTCAATTTCCTTTTGATTATCAGTGTTCTTACTTGTTTCTTCATCCAAGGATTTCTTAAGACTTTCACATTCGTTGATCAGTTCAGAGAAGTTTTGTCGCTCTTCCTCCAGCTTGGAATTCCTCTCCAGAGAAATGGATGACTGTTGTTCCACTTCAAGTTTCATCTCAGTAACAGTGCTGGTCATGGCAGAAAGCTCATGCTTGGACTTCTCAAGCTCTTCCGATAATGCCAGTATTTCCTTCTGTTTCTCAGCAAGTTGAGAGATCTTTTCTTCTACAGTCTTTTTAAGATCCTCCACTCCCTGCTGAGCTTGTTGTAGTTTTACTGTGAGATCTCCTACATCATCACCCTGGTCTTCAAAGTCCATCTGCATCATGTCCAGCTTTGCCTGCATCTGATCATTCTGCTGTTTCATTTCAGACATTTCTTTCAATAAAGTTTCTTTATCACAATCCTTCTGCTTCAACAGAGTGTCACATTTCTCCTTCTCGTCTTCCATCTGCCTCAGTTTCTCCTTCAGACTAAGCTCCTCCTCAGACATCTTGTTGAGGTTCTTTTCAGATTCAGAATGGAGCTCAGCATGTTCAGACTGAAGTTTCTCCATGTCAGCTGTTCTGCTGGGACAAAGCAGATTGCGCCTGTTGCAATTTCCTGTTCAGATCTTCACATTCAGATCTGAGAGCTGCCACATCTTCTGTCAGGCTAGAGTTAGATCCACTGAGCTCCTTTTTACTCTTCTCCCATTCATTATCCTTGGCTTTCATATTCTCTGTCAGATTGTGCAGCTGTTGACCCTGGGCTTCATGCTGTTCTTTCTGGTGACCGTGTTGTGATTTCAGAGTCTCAAAGTTGGCCTCAGTTTCAGACAGCTTCTCTCCCAACCTGGCCATCTCAGCCTGTTGATCTGTCAACTTGGATTTAAGTGTGTCTATTTCTCCTCCCTTTCTTGTCTGGAGGTCCTGGTTCTGTTGTGTCTGGTCCAGAAGCCTTGTGTGCTCTTCCTTCAGCTCATCCAGTTCCTTCTCCACCTGACTAAGCTGCTGACCCATGGCCACCATCTCATCACTCTTCTCCTGCAAGCTGGCCCTAAGCTTTTTCTCCTGCTCCGCCCAGACACTTTGTGTATCTGAAATTAATATGTCCTCTCTATAAAATATGTCACTTTTACAAAGCTGTCACTCCACCATTGCAGACACTAACATCTGCCAACTAGGGATGTCACAGTTTGAATATCTAAAATCAGTTATTCATCTTTCTAAAACTGTTCCATATCAGATCAACAATTTTTATTAATCACAAGTGCAGTTTCTGATTTTTGATCAACAATGCCAGACTGACAATCAATGCATGTTTTTTTGTCATGTTTTGCATGGACTGACTTTGAATGAGACTAATGGATATGAAAGATGTGAGTACATAAACAATGATTCATTCTGACTCCAGGTATGCTCCATCATATACACAGCACATTATTACCCCGGAAAAATACCGGGTCTTCAGTGACGAGTGAACGCTTTAACCACAAGGCTACCCCACCGCCCTCTATGTTTGACTTTGATGAGATATCAGTGATATGACAAGAGCAGATTATGTCAATGATATTGTTGGAAACTGGGTAGTGTCTATTATTTTCTATAGTGAATACGGCAGATTGTGAAAACAAAATTGTCACTGACAGTAATTGTTAGCAATATCAAACTAGATTAATAACCAACTACCAATTTGAACCTGTTAGGAATTCTAAAAGAAATTGTAACCATTTTCCCCCGAGTATTCATGACTGGCCCAGCATCATTGACAACTTTTTTGTGGAAAGAAATAATGAATGATAATTATTGCAATGGATATGACCAATAATCATAGCTGATATAGAACGAGTATACATGAGAAGGGACAAAGTGTCAAACCTACCTTTGAGTTGGTTGTCCTGGTGGTTGAGAGTGGCAGTCTTAGCTTCGAACTCCCGAGTGAGAAGATCAAGAGCCTCTTCTTTCTCTGCCAAAGTTGCCTTTAATTTCTCTATAGTCACATCCCGAGAGCTGCGGACCATACATGAAGTCCCATCAATAAATGCTTAATTTAAGTCAGGCAATTCATTATAAGGCCTAACCATTAACATACATTGTAAACGTCATGACAAAAATCATTTATGCAACATTTCCTGAAGTATCTTCAAAATGCACTGTAAAAGGACAATGGTTTAGACACAAAGATTACCCACACCAGAAATTTACCGTATAACGTTTCACCATACAAAGTTAATATGCATATTTTTTCTATTCTTCATAGTATTTCCCTGGTTTTTTCCCCCATGGTATAAAAAAATGTTATTCTCATATAATGCAAGAGAACGAATGTTATGATCATCTATTCACTGCACAGACAGGAGGAGTAATGGGTTGTTGATGAGGTGTGTATTGCATTGCGACAATACCTGTGTGTCTCCTGCAACTGCTTAATGGTGTTCTCAGAGTGATCCAGTCTCTTCCCCAGGACCTCCCTCTCCTGTTCAAGCACCTGCAGCTTCTCCTGCAGGTCTGTCATACGGCCGTCTCCTAACAACAGTTTGTCACAGGCACTCTTGTGTTCTGCCTCCAGTTCTGAAAATTTGATCACCATGTTAAAACATATTCTCAAAAAAAAGAAAGAGGAAAATGTTACTTAAAAAGTGATGTACAAAAACTTAGCTAAACCTGTAGAGGTTTCCAATTCTTTGAAGAGAATCTTCCTTGGGGTAAATATATGCCTTTTCTGCAACTGAAAATGTCATGTGACAGTTGTAACAAAGTTTTAATAAAAGATTATACAATAATAATAAAAATGTCTTTTATTTACTATACAGCCCCCCACCTTGTGGAGTTACCTCCTTACAAGCATGTGTGGCCAACCAGGTAAGAACCCTAGCCCAAATCATTATTCCTTCAGCTGACAAAGCGTCAGTGAACAGAATTGCGGGTAGGTGGGCGGCCCTACCCCAAGGAAGATTCTCTTCAAAGAATTGGAAACCTCTACAGGTTTAGCTAATTCTTTTTCATAGAGATCTTTCTTGGGGTACATATATGCAGAAACACAGACTCCCAAAGACCAAAGGCTAGGGAGGTGGGAATTCTGTTAGGTACAAGTAAATTACTGATATTGTAGACGAAGCATGCTACTTACACTAAAAAACACTGGTCACATGACCCGCAGCTTAAAGAGAGGCATGATGGGAGGTGACCCGAAAGGGAGGATTGTACACAGATCCGAGCCAAAAGTGTAAATGCATGAGAACATGATACATGTTGGGAAACGCCCCGCCCACATAGTGACAATTAGTGATAGAGCACCGAAAGGGTGTACACATAACAATATAATCATCTCCGACAGGAGAATAAATTGTATGAGTAAACAAGAAAAAATTGTGTCCAGGGACATGGATGCCCCCGCTGCTGTAGGAAGAGTTCACACATTCAGGGTCCCACTGAAGTACTTGAAAACACTAAAAACAATGTGTTGAGGGGTTAGATAACACAACCTATTATCATATAAAGATCAATAATTGAACAAAATTCACGAACAAGTTCAATAAACATCTATGCAACTATGAGATGCACACCTTTGAGAGTCCCAATGAAACACACATATAAGCTTAATCAATTCTGTTGAGCAGTTTTGTGGAAAAGTGGATAGACCTAATCCCCTATTTCACTATCATCAGAGAGAAATTCAACAAAATTTATTTAAGTTCAAATGTCTCTAAACAAACAAAACATATCAAATACAAAAACAAAATATGAGATGCACACCTTTAGAGTCTCTATAAAAGACATGTAAGCTAAATGAATTTTTGTGCAGTGGTTTTGAGGAGAAGTGGATAAAGTACACCCCTGTTGTATGGGACGAACAGGAATGAATAGAACCAAATTCAACTAAGTTCAAACATATGTAGAAGTGACAAAATTAAGAAATTGGATGAACAAGGTATGAGATGCACACCTTTAGAGTTTCAATGAAACACACGTAGAAGCTCAATCAATTCTGTTGAGCAGCTTTTGTGGAGAAGTGGATAGACTTCATCCCCTATAACACTATATTCAGAGAGAAATTCAACAAAATTTATGTAAGTTCAAACGGCATTAAAATTGGAAAAATAAATAAAATACAAAATCAAAATATGAGATGCACGCCTTTAGAGTCCCTATAAAGCACATGTGTAATCTAAATGAATTCCATAAAGTAGTTTTTGGATAGACTTCATCCCCTATTACACTATCATCATAGAGAAATTCAGCAAAATGTACCTAAGTTCAAATGTCTCTTAACTTAAAAAAACCCCAATAAAATACAAAAACAAAATATGAGATGCACACCATTAGAGTCCCAAGAAAGCCCATGTATAAGTTCATTGAATTCCACAGAGCGTTTTTTGTGGAGAAGTGGAAAGAGTACATTCCCTGTTTCCCTGTTTCGGACGGACGGACGATGCATTACACGGAGGGTAACCCTATATGCCCCCAGCCATATATGGCGGGGGCATAAAAATGAGCCTTCAGTGGATAGTCGATTAGAGCAATTGAAAATCAGAATCAAACCAATGAACCGAGACTCACTCGGTCAGGTGGCAGAACACTGTCCACTGGAGAGAACAGACCAACCAAACCGAGCACGATCTCTAGAATGCGTGTCGAGCTGGTAGTGTCGGATAAAAGTACTCGGCCGGCTCCAAATAGCGGCGGAGCAAATCTCTTCAATGGTCAGTGCCGCTGCAAAAGCTTTTGAAGTAGCCACTGCCCTAACCAAGTGAGCCTTCAACCCCTCGGGGGGAAGCTTACCCTTAGCCTAATAAGCTGCACAGATGAGAGAAACAAGCCAGCAAGAGGTAGTTTGTTTACTGGCAGGAACCCCGCCTTCCCGCCACCTTAACAGCAGAACAGCTTGGTACCCGTACGGATACCCTGCGTTGGTTTGATATAGACATTGAGGGTCTTACGGACATCCAACGGGTGAGTACGTGTAGGAACGGTCCTCGATGTAGAAGGCTGGGTAAGAGTGGATAGGAGCTGTCACGTGGAAAGCGTGATTGATCCTCGGACGGTAACTGTCCGGGAGGCAAACACTGACCCGATCAGGGTGAAAACCTGTCAGTGCCGGGTTGGACGACATTGCATGAATATCGCCGACCCTTCTAACAGATGTCACCGCCACAAGAAAGGCTGTTTTCCACGTTAACAACTGAAGGGAAATAGCCGATCGACGTGAGAAAGCAGGACCGGGCAGCCAATCTAGCACAATTGACAATTCCCAAGGTGGGCTGGTGGAGCAGGTGGCAGCTCTGAGAGCAGAGCTAAGAATCACTGCACAAGAGGGTGCTGCCCCAGAAAAGCACCATCGACAGGGGTGTGAAAAGTGGAAATAGCAGTGGAGTAGCCACGAATGGTTGAAGCCGCCAAACCCTCTTCCAAACGAGACTAAATCCGCAGAAAAGAGATCTGCAATTCCCCTATCTGAACACCAGCGCACATAGCGGGACCACTATACAGCCTCATATTGAATGGTTGTCGAATCCTGACCCGAAGCCAGAATTGTGTCTGCAACTGCCGCAGGAATTCCACATGCTTCGAGGTTAGACCTGACAGAGGCCAGGCCACCCACTGGATCTGCGGATCCAGGTTGTGCACTCCGGTCTGAGTGAGAATGTCCGGTCATAAAGGTAATATAACAGGAGGCTGAGCCAGAAACCTGAGGATTACCGAAAAAACCAGCTCTGTGACAGCCAAAGAGGTGCCATCCTGGATAATCTCCAGGGTATACGTTAACATCGTTAAGATCACTCTTCACTATACCCTAGATGCATCCACGGCTTTGCCCAATGATTTTATTACCTCCCTTTTCTGGCTTTTTATCGAATCAGGTGTCTACGCTGGGAAGTTGAACGAACCAATCCCAACTGACTTTCGCTTCTTACATTATCTAACCGTTTAAACTTGGCAACACAATTGATGCAAATGTACTCTGAAAGAGGTAGAAGGAGTTCTTTCATATACTTTTTTAAAGTTTCAGATCTGTAACTTTGTCTGTATGATTTCCCCAAAAATATGAGTGGCACTGCGAACAAACCTTCGCGACTGCGACTGCTATCTTTGTTGACACTGGAAAGCTCGGATGTAACGGCGGCTTATGTGATTGGCTACACTGAGAATGCGGAGCCAGCAAAGGGAGATAATATAATTATCGGGCCAAAACATGGATGCAGCCAGGGTATAGTGGAGAGTGCTCGTAACTAATACCCTGGAGATTATAGAGGATGAAGAGGTACCAGTAGCACAAGAACAAGAAGCGGAGCCGGCTGGGTGGATAGCTGGGAGAGGACCCTGGGGATCAGCGGTAGAGGTGGGAACGCCCAACAGTACCCTGTCCGTGAGAGGCTCAAGGGGAAGCCCCTGGAGAGATTCCAGACATCGGTCCACCACTGAAGGTGAGGGAATAACCACTCGGGAACTGTGAGACACTTCTCCAGATCCAGAGTGAGCCCACAGACATGCCAAAGCCTGCTGTATAGGGCGTATCCTCAACCTCGCCCACCACACTACAGAGACGGTCGCCACCATGTGACCCAGCAGCTGGAGCCATGTCCGTGCCACGGCCTGGGGACGTGAGAGGAACGAAGACACCATCTCACATACTCTGGTGATCCGATCAGGCGAAAGGGAAACCAGACCCTGATGTGTATTGAGCCGCGTCCCGAGGAGTCCTGGGAGGGTACCAGGTCAGATTTCTCGAGGTTCACGATCCACCCCAGATGGATTAGAATATCTAAGACAACGTGAGTGGAGTCAAGACTCGCTGGCTGAGTTAGTGCATGTAGCAACAAGTCGTCCAAGAGACAATGCCTTACGACCGAGCTAATGTGGCCGGCACTAACATGAGCTTGGTGCCTGGGGGCAGTAGATATGCCGAAGGGGAACACCCGAAATTGGTCACAACTCCCGTCGAACGAGAACCCGAAGGTAACGCTTTGAACGAGGGGATACATGAGTATCACGATCCTTGAGGTCGATCGACGTGAGCCAATCGCCCGGCTGAACAGACGAGATCACTGATCGAAGTGTCTCCATTTTGAAGGATGGAACCTCTATCATGCAGTTCAACCCCTTGAGGTTGAGTATGGTACGGAAGCCTCTGTCTTTCTTCGGGATGAGAAAGTACGTGGAATACAGACCCGATAGTTCATCTCCAGGTGGAACACGCTCCATTGCGGACTTGGACAGCAAAGCCTGAACCTCGTCTTGCAGAATACCTGCCTTGACCTGACAGGACGGCACGGGAGTGCCCCTTATGACGGTAACCTCTGGCGGGCCTCGCTTCCAAAGTGGTAAGTGGACAACAGTATCAGTGGGCTGCGGTTGTTTGTGCCCCTTTCCCACTCCTGCCAGAAGAGGGAGAGGCAGCCACCCACTGGAACATCGGGCAGAAGCGCATGGGTTGTCTCCTGCAAACTTATAACCGGCAGGGACAAACCCGACAGAGGAGCTCCCACATCAGATGCCGCGGATCGCAAAGAATCCCGGGTCAGATGGGCCTGAACTTCAGTAAGCTGCCGGAGCAACACCACATTCGGCGAAATGTCGCCAGTTTGCGCATCCGGTTCCAGGACGGATCTCTGTAAAGAGGATAGTTACACCCCATGGACCACTACCAAAATCTGTTGGCTGGTGTTATGGAATACCTCCTCGTAGCTACGATACACGGTGCGCTGAGGGGCCCCCGAATGGGGAAACGGTCGAACCAGCCGACCCTGTTTAGCTGCCGGAAGGTTACTGCAGTGAACACACACTAGTCCACCACCGGGACTTGGAAAAGAGAGTCATCCCCCAACTGGTATCTCTTAACAAGCTCAGGCAGATCAAAACGAAGCCGAGAACCAATGAGTAAGGGATCGACCACATCCTGCACCAATGATGGGAGCACACGGAGCCAAGTCTGAGTAGGCTGCCGAGGGGCGAAAGCCTCCCCTGGAAGGCGGAGCTCAGCCGAGCCCTGTTGCTCCAATGGAATCGCAGCCTGAGGGAGAACCAGTGCTATGCGCTGACGCACCTCCCGTAAGGCCAATGGAAAATTCCCTCTGATTCTTCTGCATCCCCGACCTCTATCGACTCAGCCTCCGAGCCCGAGCCAGAGTTGCAACCCTCCCAAAGGGAGGACCCAACCACCAACCCGGTTGAAGACCGAACCGAGGACACCAGGGGAAAGAGAAAACCAGACAAACTCTCCGTCCCGACCGCCACACACGGAACAGGGCCCCGAACCCGAGACTCAGAGAGGCCCACCGGGAGAACAGTGGCCTCCGTTCTCAAGGGTGAAACTCGAGTGGTTGGATACACCGGGGATACTCAACCGGCTAAGAGCCAGAACGGAAAGAGGGACTGGGCGCGAACCCTCCCCCAGCGCCAGAGCCGAGACAGCCAAAGCCGAACCCGAAGCCAGAGGCAAAGGATCAACGGCACACTCGAGGCTCGGGGATCTAGCCAAGCCTGGTAATCCCGCACCAGAACTCTCCGCCCCACCCTGTGTGTGTGTGTGTGTGTGTGTGTGTGTGTGTGTGTGTGTGTGTGTGTATCAACACGAATAATCTATATGAAAAACAGTCACTTATAGCCTGACAAAATACAGCTAAAACAAGTGTAGAAGTAAGCACGGCTCACATAGCCCCGCTTCCCGGATAGAAGGGCAGAATAAATGCTATATACTAATATAGCCCTATAACTTTGTAGCTGGGGTATAATATTGCTGACTGCTTCAAAAATAAATCTGCAAATAATAGTATTCTTATTGAAACTGTGAACCAGAAAAACGGTATTAACAGATCTTCATAAACAACATGGGATGAGGTGATTATTTGAATCCATTCGCACTTACTGTTATAACTGTCCTGCATGGTTTGAGACTGTGCCTTCACATTCTGCATCTGTGTGTAATGGTCAGCCTGGATGTAAGAAATCTGGGTCTTCAAGTCCTCGATCTGCTCACCTAGACCAGAACAAGTATTTTCAACATTGTCCTTTTCTTCATTCAATTCCCTGTGCTTCATCTTCAAATTGTCGTGCTCCCTCTGCAGCTCGGAGAAGCAGTGCCTGACCTTATCCAGTTCAAGTATCACTTTGTTCAGTTCGGACACTTTAGATTCCATTTCTTCCCCCCTTTCACATAACACAGCTTCATAGTGCTTCTCCAGCTTGTCCTTTTCCTCCAGAAGGGACTTGGCTCTCACTTCTGTAGAATGACATGTCTCTTTAATCTCTTGGATTAACTTCTCAATTTCTTTCTTTTGTGACCCATTCTCCTCATCACGTTCAGCCAGGTACTGCTGCTGGATCTCCAGCTGAGATCTCAGTTCTTCCACCTGTGCTCTCAGTGTTGAACACTCATGCTTAGTAGAGGTTAGCTCCTTCTGCAACTGACCCATGTCCTGTTGGGCTTGGTTCACAGAATCTTTTTGCATTCTTTATCTCTACATCAAAGTCCTTCTTCCTTTCTGACATTTGTTCATCCATTTCCTTGAGCGAGTCCTTCAGTTTGTGAATTTCTTGATCCCTTGATTCCACAATGGAAGCTTTGTTCTGCAGAGCCAGATCCTTTTCATCATTCTGATTCTTCATCTTGTGTAACTCTGCATCTCTCTGACAGAGACTATTTGTCAGGTCCTTCAGTTCATTCTCTTTCTCTGTCAGATCATGAGCAAGCTTGTCAAACCGATCAGCCTGGTGGTCCAGCTGCCCCTTCATGCCATCGTGGAGTCTCTCCATCTCACATTTCTGAGCTGTCATTTTAGCCAGTTCCTTTTCTTTCTCCTCCAGTGCCTGTTCCACACTCTGCTTCTCTGACTTGAGGTCTACAAACTGCTTGTTAAGTTTGAGAACATCCAGCTTGGACATGGAAAGGCCAGCCTCCGCTTCTCCCTTCCCTGCCTCCAACCCCTCGATCTTCTGCTGCATCTGTACAGTCTCTGACTCAAGTCTGGCAGCCAAACGTTCACACTCAGCTGTAGCACTCTCAAGCTCAAGATCCTTGTCCATCATCTTGGCCCGCAGATCATTATTAACCTGGTCTACACGGTCTGTGGTCTCCTTCATCTTCTGTGTCTGCTGCTGAGTGGCCTCCATCTTTCTCTGGGTCTCCTCCATGTCACGGAGAACCTTGTTCTACAACAACAAATCACAATCGGTCATATTACATCATGTGGCTTAAAGGAGTCTGTCACCACTCCCCAAACATCATCAATCAAAGAAATTGATTATTTACAATCATGGTGATGAAGTTCAAATATTGAAAAGAAAGACTGACCTTTTCAGCAACTGCATCATCAACAGTCTTCTGCATGGCTGCAAGGGAGGCATCATGTGTCTTGAGGGCGTGGTCGATGGCTGCCAGCTTGTCTGTCAGCTCCTTCTTCTCCCTCTGCAGCTGCTGTTTCTCCTGCTCAAGCTTCTCACATTGAGACTTCAGACGGTTCTGCTCTGTCTCACACTGACACAGACAACACACACCTTCATATTTGTAAACTGTGACTTTAGACAGGGGAATATATTCCACAATGTCCCCCACCCCATGGCAAGGGGGTTATCTAATGGAACGGAAGGGGAGAGGAGACAGAGGGAGAGGACACCAGAAATGGTTACTTAACACCACTTTCTAACTATTTGGAGGATTGAATCCAGGCCTCCAGTTTGATGAGTGAACACTCATATCATAAGACAACCCCATCCTGTGACATGGCTTTATAGTCGTTCAGTCATGGAAATTGACTGGGTGACATTATCTTCAATATATGACAAATAGATGAGTCTAGTCACTTTGATTACAGCTGTATTCAGTGTTATGACATGCTCAAGAGGACTTTTACCTGTTTGATCTCCTGCTGCATCTTGTTCTTCGTCTCTGCCAGCAGCTTTTCACCAGCCTCGAGCAGTATATCCATGTGTTGAGCTATGTCCTTGTTCAACTCCTTCTCTCGCTCCTTTCAGTTTCTGCTCCTGAGATATCCGAGCAGAATCAGCGTTAATGGCGCATGCCTCTCTCCCTCCTGCTGCAGTTTCTTGTTCTTTGTTTCAAGATCCAAGATCTTTGCAAAACAGAACCAAATTCATCAATGCATATGTGATCGATATATCAATGTAATAAAGTAAGATCTACATAAAGTAAAATGCGTCCAAAACCGATAAAGTGATACGTGAACTGGATAAAGCCAGGCACTGCAGACATACACTAACTGTAAGTCCCTGAAAGTTATGTTTGAGGCTTAGAGAAAATATTATTAACAACCTTAAAATCTCTTAACTTCCTGAAAAGGGGAGGAGGATGGGATTATATGACTACAATACAGGAAAGGGAGGTTAAAAACCCATAAATCTAAACAGACACAAACAAATAAAACAAGTGTTTGCCACTGATATGGCAATGTCCCCCGCCGCTAAAGAATGGAATATCTATATTTACTACTTTTTATTTTTTGGTCACATACAAGATGCCTGAAATGGTGTCTGCATAATCACCCAATGTAGTTTCGACATAATTTAAAACATTGGGTGCAATGTTTTATGAGATATCGTGATTTAAATAAGTTTGAAAAGTGGTCAAAGTGTCGCGGGTGACCTTGAAAATAGGTCAAGGTCACCCAAGTTCACTGGTGTCTGAGTAATCCCCAATGTTGGCTGTCACCAAATTTGAAGACATTGGATACAACAGTTCATGAGATATCGCTACACAAGAATCGGATGTAACAGCATCGGATGTCATTACATACGATGCTGCTGAATACATAGTCCCCGCTTCAGGCGTTAGGCTGGGGACAACAACAGACACAACAGACATGAATAGTTTATGTCCTTCAAGCCAACAGCTAGCCTTTCATCTGTCACTCAGCAAAATGTCACAACACACCTTGTTGTTTGTCTGCTCAATCTGAACTTTCAGTTTTCCAATTTCATCGCGATGCTGGTTGAGCTGCTTCTCCTTGTCCCCGACCATGGCCTCGGCTTTGTTCAACTCCACTTGCATCTTCTGTAGGCGGCCATTGTTTTCATGCAGCTCCTTTGTCTTTGCCTGGATCTGTAGTTCCAGGTTAGCACTGCCGTTCTTGATTGCTGGTTGAGTGTGAAAACAGCATATCAGAGGCATCCCAAGTTAAACACATACTGACTGCTAACTACTACCTCTTATTAGTGGATCAACATTGAGAATTTTATGCAAAACATTGCTTACTAAAACTTTGTGAAACATATCACACTTTGACTAAAGTATTAGGAAATGAATATGATTTGAGAGCATGTCTGGAAGCACAATGTTACACCCAATATGTATCATTATGTCACGTATGTGAATCATCAGTCCATGCAAATCATAAAAGTATAACAATATATCACTATGTAGGCTTATCATTATGTGTCATATGTGAGCGATATGTATGTCGATGCATCTCCTTCAAAGTCTTGATAGTAAAATTATCTGAGACCGCTCCGTCATAAATAGATGTAGCTAGCTTTACTTAAAAATAGTTTGGAAACTAACAGCTTTTGTGATTGGCTAGACTATTTTGATGGACCAATCAGCCGGCGTACATTGCGGTAAGGTAATGCTATGAAAGAGGTATGAAAATTATGTATCTGGATGCATTAATATAGTGACCTTAAAATCGTAACAAGTATCGTATGCGTGAGATTGGTGTATCATTGACACCTACTTATCATACAGTGCCACACCCATGCTAGAGCTGTTTGGCATGATGCTGACCTTCATTCTCTTCTTCAGTTTGCCTAGGACCTGCTCCATCTTGTCCAGCTGCATGCCGGTCATCCCCTGGTTGTCCTGGAGACTCTGACCCATCTGCTGCATGCGGTTGTTGGTGGCAGCACTCTGGTTCTCCAGCTTCAGTGTCAGGTCCTGCTTCTCTCGCCGCAGGGTCTCCAACTCAGAGATAGTCTTGCTCATGTCAGTACCAGCCTTGCCACAAACACATCAAGACTGTCAGCGAAACATTCACATTCCCTTCATGCACATAAGTGTGTAAACACAGGGCTGCAAAATTGCTGGGAATTTGCCAACTTGTGGTTTTGGATGACAAATATGTGTTGTTACTTTGGCTCTATTTACCTGTCACAAATGTAAACACCATCACCCCAAGTGCTGTATATGGTATTGGTGAGTGAAGGCCTGGGCTATTATTGAACAAGATATTCATTCATTCTATGGTGCCAATGACAGAACCAGACCCATGAAGATCCGGGTTAGAATTGGTCTTCAGTACTGAATGACTGAGTTTGGTTTTCGCTTTTAGCAATATTCCAGCAATATCACTCGCAGGTATTACACACCAGAAATGGGCTTCACTCATTAATACCCATGTGGGATTCGAACCTAAGTCGAGAGTCATGACTAGTAGCATGATCTTGTAAGGTGGGAGGTCAACTAAGCAGGCGAAACATTAATGGCATCTTTGGAGTAAAGATTTAGGACTTAGTATAATATCGATGTCAGAGCAGCCGGGGGATCGCGCCTTGTTATCATTCAGGATGCTTCTCATGGATTTTCGCATTTTCAGCACTTAATAAGCGGGAATTGTAATGGGCAATCAAAACATATAGCGATCCGGAAGCGTAAGGCGATAGGATACTTGATGATCAAAGGCGTTGCAAATGTAACTTGCTAAGCGTTAACAATTGATGCGTGCTGACAACATCACTTGCGGATGTTAGTTAAGCTAGCGTGGGTATTTGACTAGAAATGACCATAAGCGTTATTATTGATTGACACAGCGATTATCAGTCCTGGTAACAATAACCAGCTGTACCTGTGACTGCAAAGCCTTGAGTTCATCCTGCAGCTTTTTCTGATCATCTTGATCCTTCTGTCTCAGTGCTGTCAGCTCTGCTATTTGATTCTTCAGTGCACTTACTTCAGCTGTAAGTACAGACAGGAGAAGTGAAAAACCATGACAATACCTTCACGCAATAATCTAGTAATATTTGGACAAAAAGCAAAGTGGGAAATAACCCATAATGTAAACACACCATTTGACACACTGGGTTGTACGGCGGTAGGCGAGGGAACTTGTTTCCCACCCCCTCCACCTCCTATTCTTTGCCCATCCTGTCGTACATCAGCATCCAGTGAACGGATACGGTCCTCCAGTTGTTTCTTCTGATGGCTGCTGAATTCCTGCAGACGATTGTGGTCTGATGTTAGTTTCTCAAACTTCTTCACAGCTTCAAGATGTTCATGTTGGGCGTGGTCTAGCTCTGTCTTCAGCTGAGACACCTGAAAGAAACAGCAGGAATGGTCTTAACCTTAGGAGGGATTACATGGGTATTAAATGTGAGTGTGTCAGTGTCTACCTGTTTCTGTCTGATTGCATACATAGTGCACTGACATACCATCACGTAATTTAACATGGATGCCTCAACTCAAACTAAACTAAGACTGTTTTATCCATTTAATGCTGATTGCCAGGCAGACAAACACGTAAAATCATCAAAAGTCTTATGGTATGACATGGCCAGGGATCGAACCTCAGACCTGCCACTCTCTTGGTGGGGGCTCTTTCCAACTACACCATCGATACAGCAGCAGTAGTAATAATAATAATATGGAATCTTATATCGTGCTAAACTCCACACCAAAGTGTGCACAAAGCGCTAACAGCGTCAGGAGTCATGTACGATACATGCTCCACAGAAACTGATGAACCATTAAAATTGCTCCAGCCACATAAGATAAAAAAATGAAAGGGAAAGTGAAATTGATTTACAGCTCTTACATTCGAGAAAAGGTATTGTCACAGGGGTGGAAATAACTTTAAAATTGCTAGTGTACTCCGGAACAGTAGCACATGTAAAATCACTTGCCCTGATAATTTTTCGTCTATACCGGACGGTTTCTTGTTGATTTTTTACAATAAACAACATAGTTAACATTGGAAAGTCAACTGGACACCGGTACAGTGTGATATACAAATTGCTTGCCTGACAGAAAAAAAACACTGGACTCGGACAATGGGTTATTTCCACCCCTGTGTCACTTAAAACTTATTTTGAGATTGACATAACAGGTTCAGTTACCTCAAAGCTATATTGTGCATTCCTACTAAATGTTGTTGCCAATGTAAGAATCAGTTATCTATATCCATAACAATCTTTTACTCATTTCATTTTTACCTTGTTAGTCTCTGCATCCAGTGACTGTTTAGCATGTGACAATTGGCCTTCAAGACATGACACATGGTTGGTCTTTGTCTGAATATCCTGGGCAAGTTTCTGCCTCTTCTTCTCTAAATCCTCACATGTTTCAGACAAAGACTGTGCTTCACGTTTAAGCACACCTTGTTGGTTCTTTTCCTCCTCAGTTTTCCGCTTCTGAGCTTGTAATGCCTGTTCATTACAAAACAACACATAAATCTTTTTTCAACAGTGACAATGACAATTGCTGATATTCAAAATATATTTGAAAATGTAGTTTGTCACACCGTCCCTGAAACACGTTATTTTCGCTTCTGACAAACCCTGTGCTATGCTCCCTCCCAATGATTTTTCTCAGGTGGAGTGCCAACTCACTTGGGCTGCTGTCAAGTCTTATTGAGAAATTGGTGTCATCAAAATTATAAACATTAAAAGCTGCCACACATCAAATAAACAAACACAAAACAAATCAAAGCACAAATACCGAAGCAAATTTGTTTTTAAACAATCTCAAGCTTCAAATAGGATGCATATGAAACAGTGAAGATGCCACTAAATTATACACTTGTAGTGAGTGAGTTGGGTTTTACGCCGCTGTTAGCAATATTCCAGCAATATCACAGCAGGGAACAATTGAAATGGGCTTCACACATTGCATCCATGTGGGAATCAACCCAGGCCTTGGTGATGAGCCAATGCTTTAACCACTAGGCTACCCCACTGCCCCTAAACACTTGTGACTTATGAGGACAAAGAAAATGTCTCATTGTAACAGGTTACTAGCTTGGCTATTGTAAAACAAGGCAGCTACCACTGCCATTGCACAATTTGAAAATCATTGGAATTTTCTAAGAAACAGATACAGAGTTGCCATGTACCTTATGATCAGGATGTCACTGTCAGGGCATAAGTAAATACCTAATCCTGTCTCAGTTTGATGAGTCTCCTACTCTCACATTGTTAATTTTGAATCTGCATGACGGAACAACAAAATTACTAGTTTCATAGAAGATGGGACATAATACACACCTGTTCCAAACTCTCTAACTGAAACTGCTTCTGTTCTCTCTCTTTTTTAATGCGTTCAAACTGTTTTTCTAGCTGTTCGATCTTCTGTAGAGCCCTTGGGGGTAGCCCGTCCTTCCATTCATCTGCTACCCAACTCATCCTGGCTTACCTGCAGAAAGGGAAACAAAAAGCCAAACTCCATTTATTATGTCATTAAGTTATCTGGAAAGTAATTACATACAAACAACAGTCTTCAGAAATAAGTCCAGTCAGAAAGAGTTCCTTCCGTTCCCCCTACGTCTTTCTTCTGCAGATTAACAGAGGTAACGCAACATGGTTCGACCCTATACATTGTAATTAATTTTTGAGCTTTTAGTTACTTTGGTGAGTTCTCTAGTAATTGTAGTGTTAGGTTTTGTAAATAATTTTAGCATATATTAATTTATAAATATTATTTAGGATGGGGGGGGAACGGGAGGAACTCTTATCATTACCAGCATCTACACCAAAATGTCACAAATCCATTGATATAAGTTGTCTATCCATCAAAAATCGTACCTGTTGAACTATAATATGTTTGACTGACTAAATACTGATTTCAGAGATTTGTTCAATCATTAACATCAATCATGTCCATGGTGCACTTGTATTTCCAGATAAATTTTGTCAAATTTCATTCTGAAAATATGGTAAAAAGTAATATATTCTGGATCATGCCTGTGTCTCTGAAAGCAAATTCAAATTTACGAAAGAGTAAAAAAAAACACCCCCAGAGGCTTGGCACCATACAGACTTGACTAGACATCTAATGATACAACATCAACGCCTTGTCGCCCATACTACACGAGAAAGTTGATAGCGTAGCAAAACACGATTTGTGTCAAAATGGAAAACCAGCTGAAACCATTTGAATGAAATGAAAACAAACATTGGCCCCAAACATTATTCAAATCATCAAAATAACGCGATATTGAAGACGCAATCTCATTACACATTTTCAAAGAAAGATATATTACAACTTGTTCAAATATTGCCATATATATCATGTATATGATAACTCAAAACTTACGCCGGATTAACCCTTATTTTCTTGAATACACTGGGCTTTCGAATTTCGCACCCTAAACCGCCATCTCCATTGCGCATGCGCTCTGCGCTATTTTACGACTTCAATTCAAAGTAGATCGATGTTATACTTGATCTCAAGAACTTCAGGACCAGAATGAGATTATTCATGTCACTGGGGCTTGTCATATCATTCCAGTCTAGCTTTTATCAAATTTACATGATGCGACACTTGTTAAATATCTGAAATGCCTAACCCATTTACGTCACTGTCAAACAAGTAATCTATATTCTTTACAACATATTACATATAATTTAATACATTTAGTTTCCTGTCGCCACTTTTGAATCAGTTGGTGGTCAAATATGAACTACACGTTTTTACTGATAAAGGTGGCAGTGAACAGTGCAAGGAAGTCACACGCGCGATACACAGTTGCAATGGTGCATTGTCAGTTATGTGTTATTTAATTGTAAAATTTGGCCCCTATTCTGAGCTTTCAATACAGCTCGATATGAATGATTAGAGTAGTGTTTTTTCTTGTGGTAAAAGAGCAATACTACATCCATTGGCAGAGACCATATATGGGTATATTGTCTCATTAGATGTGCCCACCCTATTGGGTAGGAAAAGAAATAAAAATATTTAAAATATTAAAATATGTGCGAAAGTGCCACTGTTCTGAATGTTATTTCGATTTTGAGACGTCAAGGTCAAAAAGAAGGAGATATAAGATAGTTGGTATAATATACGAAAGTGTTTTCTTTTCTTGTTATTATTTTTATATGACACAATGATGTTTTTTAACATTCACAAAGGTAAAACTGTAGGCAAAATGATTTGCTTGGGGCAAAATACACCCTTCATCAGATCTTTGGGGCAAAATACACCTTTCATCAAAACCTTTCTTTATATATTCGAAAACACTTTTGTGGATTATAACATTTCACTGAAACAATGTAAGGCAACGTATAATGTTAGTTGCTTCTTGCTGCAGTTTTGAAAATGCGGTATTGTAAATAGAAAATGAATCAAGCCACCTTATTTTAAAAGTGGAGTAAAACAATTTTACCTTTCACACCAAAAATCGAAGAAGAATGCAATTAGGTTTCTGACGATCTGTTTGACACTATAATTAAAAGTCCTACCCCCCAAAACCTGGTCGAAACTGTTACAGATGGAATTTAATTAACATCTACATTTAGCGTTATGTATATTGCGTTGTACAGTACATATTAGTGGTGGTCCGATTAATTGAAATAATCGAAGATTGGTCGTAGTGACTAAACGACCAAGCAATCGATCATAATTTCTCATAATCGAACACAAACAATTCTGGAACACTTGTTTTCATAAACAATAATTTTCACATGGTTGGTTTTGTCTGTTACATTTCGCAAGCACTGCAAGCTCGTTTCAAGTCATGATTGAATTTATCTTAAAGATTCCAAGAAATGTATGTTCCCAACATACTAGTCATCCTTTAAAGATGTGAAATTTTGCCAAAAAAAACCCCTAAAAGAACTACATGTTTTTTCCTTATTTTTATGTACATTAACAAATTTCATAAATGACGCTAACCAATTATTTTCGATGATTGATCGGACGTAATGAATCAATCATCAATTATGAGATTTGAACCAATTCCCAACACTAGTACATAGTAGTTATTTACAAAACAATTCAAAATGATACTGGGCGCTGGAGTAACCCGGTGGTTCGTCATGGGGAAGACTGGGTTCGAGTCCCACATGGGTACAATGTGTGTAGGTCATTTCTGTTGATTCCCGCCGTGATTTTGTGGCGTAAATTCAGAATCACTTGTTCACTCTAAATGACACACATATTTGGTATTCTCTGCATGACCAGACCCCCGCCACGAAATGGGAGCGGGTTACAACGGCATCGTTCGTCCTTCTGCTCCTTTCCCCTCTTTTGTCAAGTCGAACACCGACATAATAACACACACACGCACGCACATACGCGCACACAATGTGTCAGTGGTTATCGAAATGTAAGAAATAGGTGTTGAGGGTCTTGTTCACTTGTTTACATAATTCAATGTTTTGCAGAATTAAGGAAAATACTATCACAAGCATTTTTTAATTGTATGACCATTTTGGCATGACCCTCAAAGACATCTAGTACCATACTTAGAGCTGTAACAGCAAAATGACTGAGTCTCAACCAATGACTTTGATATCACAACACTCCTTTAATTCATAAATTCTCTGCGACGTATTTTGGTGACAATCCCGTGATTAGTCACCAATAAGAGGACCGCAATTTACACAACAAAACTTCAGCGACGTAAGTGATTTAAAAAGAAAGCAAAGAAATTTTCGAATGCCACTGTTGATCAGTCACTACTCTATAAAATATTTGCGAAAGATTCGCAAAGTCATTTTACGCCCAGGAGAGATCCTCCTGCGACGCGCACCTGTTCCGTAGATAGAAATAGTTGTGAGGGAAATGTGATGTCAAACCACTTTTCTGACTTGGGTTGACAACAAAACATGGACATACAGTCCTCGTTATGAGACATCACGGTTTGTGATGACACATGCAGCAACAACGATGAGGGCGGTCTTCCCCACGTATTTAGATCATCGTGGGAAGATAGAAAAACCGCTTGCTCCTCTGTTTGGAAATACACAATTGTAAAAATAACACCACCAAAATCATTTGTCAGCAGAGGTTTCGCTTGAAGTGGAGTACATCGGTGACAGTGTTAAAAAGGATTATCGGTGTACACTTGCCCCCGGAACCACGCGTAATGTTTTATCTTAAAGTTAGTAATGTCTCATTACAGTCATGTCTCTTTACACCTCTATATTTCATGTGTTTACTTAACATATATATATAATTTTATTAACAAGTAGAGTCTATCTATTTCCATGTAACTTAATCAATAAGTAATGTTATTCAGAAACTAATTTGTATAAGTTATATATTAAATATATTTATTATTATTTATACATATTTAAGTTACTTTTAAATGGATGTCAGCTTTTTTATCTTTACGCTGTCAATTTGTGATGTATGTGCCATAATGTTATCATTTGTTTACAGTATACCATATGATTTAGGTCAGAGCTGAAGTGACTGCTCTCACACTCAGCGCCACACCCTGATTTAATATCTTTAGACAAAATACCCAACAATATTTCCATTTATTTCAGAACAACTTTTTATGAAGAATTGTGACATTTTGGATTTATAAAATGCCATTCAAGTGGAGACCGAAACGGACTCGTCGTTATGACATATCATCGAAGAATTCATTCATAGTTGGTGTGTACCTGTTGGATAGTTCATTCTTGGAATGTACCCTGTCATCTGATAGTACAGGCCAGGAGTGCCTGGACAGCATTGCACAGAGAATTGACCTTGTGGATGTGAGTTAATATTCATCATTACTATTGTAGCCTAAGCATTTACAAACTTTCAAGCTATTACTTGGCAGTTTCATTCATTTATGTTTGAATGAATTTCCCTAAACCCATCTTTGTTTTGTCTCAGTTTTTGACAGCAGACCTATTATTCTAGATGCTGTGACTTATTCAATAATTTAAATTGTTGAAAACATTTAAGTATGTGTTTGCCCACAAAAGTTCTATTAAGTCTTTGTTTTTGTCTCAGTTTTTGATGACAGACCTATTATTCTAGATGCTGTGACTTATTCAATATTTTAAATTGTTGGAAACATTAAAGTATGTGTTTGTCCCCAAAAGTTCTATAAACAAGATATATCATATCCAAGGCTATTTCATCATTCAGAGTTAAGTGTAAGTTAGCACTGAGGAGAAATTCTGGTAAACAATTTTTTTACTACATGTATTTGACTGAAATGTTTGCTGTGTGCAACTTGGAAAAATACGACAGTGATAGGAATGTGAGTCATACTGAACCCGGGGCCTTGTGAAGATCTGGGTTGGAATTGGTCTTCAGCAACCCATGGTTGTTCTCGGATTCGACTAATGAGATTGGGTTGTCAGAATCTCTGATTTCGTTGATGAATGTCATCATTTCCTAATTCTGTAGATCAGCGCTATAATCAAGTCAACCGCTGGATTGTTTGTACGAGAATTGATTACTTGCAGTCGGCTATCATATATCTATATGTCTGGAATATTGAAACAGATATATTGAACTGGGGGATGTTAGATGTACACAAATAGAAATATGCAGTTATCAAATATAAATAAAGAAGGGTAAGGTAAAGCATTATGCTAAACCTATTCAGTGTTTTGATGTATCAGAATAAATGTTTGCTATGAACTTCGAAAGGAGCTTATGTGGGTGGAAGTGTCACAGTGACCTATGTGGTAAGAGAAGAAAGGCCATGCCTTAGGCACATTGTGACAGGTATAATGCTACTTCAGCCTTTGTTTCCAGATTGTGATGTATGTACATGTGGATTAACAGTGTTATGTGTGTATGTTATCATGTCACATGGAGGTATACATGCCCACTGCTGCACATGTCTCATTGTTGGATAGGACAGAGCAACATGACAGTATTGCTATACTGAGTGTCATTGCTGAAGGATCTGGCTGGTTGTTTAACACTGCACTCAGCAATATTCCAGCTATATGCTTATATGGTGACGGTCTGCAAATAAGCGAGTCTAGACAGTCAATCCAGTGATCAACATCATGAGCATCAGATACGATGACATGTGTCAACCAAGTCAGCCTAACCACCCGATCTTGTTAGACGCCTCTTACAACAAGCATGGGTTGCTGAAGACCAGTTCTAACCTGTATCTTCATGGGTGTGCAGATAAGAGATGAAAAGTATTAAAATAATGTTTTCAACTTCCAAGAGAGCAGCTCTGTGGCATCTGGAGTAAACCATGTTATGTCCACATTGCCTTTAAGTGTCATGCATTACCCATACATGGGTGAAACCAATGGTTGTGTTCAGGAGTGTGTTTTGCATAGCTTTCTTTATCACTGTCTGGGCGGTAGGGTAGCCTGGTAGTAAAAGTGTTGGCTTGTCACGGCGAACACCCGGGGTTTGATTCTCCACATAGGGAAAATGTGTGAACCCTATTTCTGGTGTCGGCGAGTTATTACTGGAATATTGCTAAAAGTGGTGTACAACCATACTC